AATCTCGCTTTTGCGACGTGCTGTACGAGCTTCCGTTAAGCACACGAAGCCGCCGCGTTATCACCTATGCGGTGCTCAAGAACACGAGCACAGGAACACGAGAGCTCGCAAGCCGGGTACCCGGGTGCACCGGTGCAAGCAAGGGGTGCACGCATGTAAATACACCTGTACAACCTCGAAGATTACAGGCACGAACACGGACACCGGCACGAAGCGTGTATACGAAAGGGTGGACGAGCACGAAGCTATTACTCGCTTTACGAGAGGGTAACACGCTGCCGACGTTTACGGTCGAACGAAACCCACCGAATGCAGCGTCGCGATAAATTCCCGCGCGCCTTGTTCCGATCCACCAAAGTTTCTACGGAAAATACGATACCTGGGGGAGAAAACGGTCGACGCGGAGTTCAGGCCAGCAACGACTTCTGCGCTACGAAATCGACGATATCTTTCGGAAATGACTCGAACAAAGCTTTCGTCGTCTGCGAACGACACGGCCAGAAAACGGATAATTAAAGCACCGTTGTGTGTTTCTAGCGCCGAGGTTACCCACGCGGACTGGGAATTATGGTAACACTTGTTGTTGGAATAACCCGGCTACGCTGCCACGCTATTCCTCATTTGTAAATTATTCGAAGGCGACTCGCGAGGATTATCGTTACCGAGTTCACTCGTGATTCGTGAAAATTTCAACGGTAACGCGAATTTGCGGCCAGCTAATCTCTTGATCCAGAGTTCCTGGATTTTCTTCGAGAAACTGCTTGGTCATCGATAATCGAATACGTACTCGTTCAGTGCCACGGTGGTAACACCACGGAAGCGTGCATATTTCTATCGTATATCGCGCGTATAAATATTTCCACGGCAAAGACCAGTTCGGCGATGTTTTATCGTTCCAGGCAGAATAATGGAATCGCCATTATTCAGCGATTACGACTGGTTTCGGTTTGGCAGCGGTGCCAATTTTTAACGGCGTTTTCCAACGCGTATTCGCGCGCTACGAGGAACGTACTCTCTTCTTCGCTGCGACGCATATTTTATCGAAAATAAAATGGACAACGGCCAAGTACCGAGAGTACGGAGACGACTCGTAAACTCGGTGCCTCGTTGTATCCTTCTCCGTACCTTTATGACGCCGTGATCAACGATTCGGATTCGCGAAAGGTACCGCGAACGAGAAGACCTCGATAAATTTCAATTTCACCGCGCGGATAATAATTTTCGTCGACGATCGTTCGAATCTTGTTGCTGTTTCTCCGGCCGTTTTAACGTATCGATTCGTTGAGTCGAGAGATATCGAAACGACGAAAGAAATCGCGAAAAAAAGAGAACGTTCGTTCTCGAACCACGATAGTTTTTAATTTACCCGGAAGCAGAGATTACACCTGGAAACAGAGCACAATGGCGCATTGTCCACGGACAAGCGTCGGCTTTAATCACGGATGTACCCGCCTTTGTCGATTTCCATAGTTCAATCCTATACGTTGTCTATGGTGTTCGCCCACGGTTTTCGGAACGTCGGTGCATCTAATACGCATTTGTCCGCGGGTACTTAACGTCGCGCGGCGAGAAACAGATAAGCAACCACTCCGCATCGAGGCCACGATCAAACAATGTCTATTGTGCAACGCGAACGATACCTAACAACGACTATCTGTTCAAGCTGATATCTCTATTACAGAAATGAATATCACCGGTATTCGCGCGATGGACTGAACTCTCCGAGTCTGCTAGCACTGGTAAATTCGGTTATCCTTGACACCCACCGATCGTCAATAAGATCGTATATACATATGTTTTCGAAGAGTGGGCGCTTATGTACCTACATAGAGCGTACATTTACCTAGTCCTTCGAATAAAAAACCGCTCGAAAGATCCGTTCGCGTGCGAAGTTTGATGAAAACATCACGCGCTTACGTTCCCATGGATACAAGATCACGTCACGACATCGCCTCTTAAACAATAATAATATTGCGAAAGATTTGCCAAGATTAACCTTACCGATCTATGCGCGATATCCACGCGACGAGTCTTAATGTAACCTGATTTCCACCCACGCGATCGATCGCTTATAACGCGAAGCAACCGAGAAAAGTGCGATCATCGAAAGTTTATCGTCTCGATCGCCCACGTAATAACGGTACATCAATAAGAACGTACAAGGTACAGGTTACAGGAGCGTATCACCAACACCTCCGAACGTTCCCGCGTTGATCAAATTTACGGGAAACAACGCGGTGATAACCGTACACGTACATTCGAGTCGCGAGGCCAGGCTTTCCGGTCTACGACAAGAACAACAACATTGATAACGCTACGTTCCAACGTACGTACACGCATGTGGCGCTATATCGGTTCGCGAGCAACGGGTTTCTAGTTTTCATAATTGCCAGCTAGACAGTGGTTACCGTAAATGAGATTTCCCTGTAAACTCACGGCCGCTTTTCCCATAAGTATTAATTGGTTTCGCGTGGGAAGTATTCCATAGAGGAAGCTATCGTTGAATGGAACATCAGCCAAGGCACTACGATATTTAGAATTTGAAAGTCTTTTATTCGGCGAATGTAAATTCACCGAAAGTTTATTGAAGATTGATCGAAAGACCAAGAAGAGGATAACGGCGACTCGATAGGATGCTCGAAAGTTTCGAGAAACAAGCAAGCAAGGATTCGATGCTCGAAGAATCTGACCGGAAACGAATGTAAGCGTTAACGTGGAAGCGCAAAGAATCCGAAGACTCGATACGGGAGAAAGAAGCCGTATGATCGTGGATAAACGAGTGGGTGCAATGGAAGGGAGAAGGACGATGGAATCCCACCCTGGCTACTCGTACATATTCCATCTCGATCGATATGACCTCGGGTAGCAGGTGCCTTTGTTCGTAAAGGGCTACCCCGCTTTTACTCCTTTTTTTCTATACGGACGTTCACACTTCGCTTGACGTCCCTTCGTTCCCTCGATCACAGGTGCAACGTGGCTTGCTTTCAATTTTTAATGAGACGACCACGAATCTTCTATGCCGAAGCGAGCCGAAACGACCAAGAAAGAAAGATATACCCGAAAGGTGAATGCCAGGCTAATCTCGTATAATTTGCTCGCGACGAATATCGCGTAGAAAAACGTTGCATGAGAGTTGAACGTTTTGCAAATATTACCGTTCATTCGGTCGCAATGCTTTCGCCGATATTGAATGCAACGCGATAAACTAGAGAATGCTAGATTCAGCGGAGGAAAATTGCAGCGAACAATAGGTGTAGCGTTACGAAGATTAATGGCAAACATCGCCGTGTCCTTTCATTAATTTCTCGTTTAAAGGACGCGCGTGGAGCGGATGAATGATCTACGCGTAGTAAGCCTGCGCTCGTATACGTAAGCGTACACACGCAACACCGTAGTAGCGCGCTTTAGTGCCACAGGCAAAATATACAAACGCTCGTCTCCCTACTTCTTTCATAAGCTGCGACTAAATAACAACGATTAGGCTCTTAACTATCCGCTTTAATCCCAACGATACGCTCGCTTGCTTTTCAATTAAATATCCTTTGTCCGAGCGTTCATCGTCGAATTAATCAAAAATATCGAGCAAATCGAAAAATTATTAGTACGATTTGTTTACTCGTGATAAAACTATGTTTCTCCTTGTTCTATGCGAGTCGCCCTGTATTGCGTCTCCGTCGAAAAAATCGTCAATCATGTTACGCGATACGAGCGCGCATCGAACGAAATCTGATCGCGGTGTATTAATTACTGGCCAGTGCTCTTTTTATTCGACGACTAACAGTTGGCAGAAATAAAGTAGACTATTACGATAAAGGGTAACCCAGAGTGCGCGGTTGCAACGACCAAGCAACGTGCGTCATCGTCGACGATAAGCTCGCGATAGATAATCTTCAGCCTTAAACTATTCGACGAAACAGCGATTAGATACTGTGCCTATTTACCATACGTATACGATTTTTTTCAACACCGGCTACAATATCGGTCTCTTTCAATTTCGCTCCGCAAAATCGTGGGTGTTCAAGGCATTAGACGCACGCACCATTTCTGGCATATCAACTTACTCCCGAATGGAGTACATTGAAACATTTTTTCATTTTGTTTCTCGTCCGTGTCGTAGAAACACGATATCTCGTGTGTCTTTATGGGATACGGTTACGCAATATCGTTACGAGGAAACGTTACAGAAGCGGGCAATCAGCGATAGTCACGGTGCACACGTAGACACGAATCCTTACCTCGCCTGGCCCGCTTTACTATCACGTAATTGTTTACAAAATCATGCTATAAGCGTAATCTCCCGTGAGGGGACACGTGTCACTGTTTCTCTGAACGAAATGGGAGACCTGTCGTCGTTCGCAAATGCAACGTATCGTTGAAACTAAAAGCATGCACCTTCCGCAGACTGTAAACATCGTTCGTCGCGATTCATAAATACGCTTCGGAGTATCGCGAAATGGTCGCGATTAAAGACTCGCCGAACGCGACTAAACTAACTTAGGTATAAGTTATTCTTAAGGACACGCACGACACCGTCGAACAACGATGGATCGATGGTTGCACCGATTACGGAAACGTTCCGGCGCACAGGCGGTAGTAAATTATCGGTCGAGATAAAGCGTACGCGTCTCGTATCGCGTGAAAAATGCAGGGCCGTTCAATGGCAACGTAAGCGTCATCGAAGGACAATTGGATCGGTCCGATTTCGACGCGTCTCGTTGGACGGAGCGAGCAACGATAAAAGAGCACGACGTGCCTCGAGAGGAATGAGACGAGAGAAACGCGCGTTCCTCCGGATAGACGGAGAAAGAAAGGATGAGAATGAAGAGATGCGAGAGTAGGGGGATAGGAGGGAGAGTTGATAACGTGCCAGCTGTGCGCAGGAACGGAGGTTAGGTTAGAATTGGCGTTTGGGGGTCGCGAGGTCAGCCCACGGGATCGAACGACCGAACGGGATAGCGGATAGCGGATAGCAGATATAGCGGTACGCCGATGAAACTTACCTCGTTGAAGGCCATCTTCTTCGTTATGCTTCCGGACTCGCGGCTGCTTCCGGCACCTCCTTGCCCCACCGCTCCTGTCGAAGGGTA